TTGTTCAGAGAAAAAATACATCAAACCTTTGGATTGTTTTGAAGAGCATATCAATCTGTAAATGATCTGAAGAAAATATTGAACCTGTCAATGTATAAAAGATCAAGGCTACAACATGGTCACTTAAAGGGGAATGTGGAAAAGTTCACAGAGGTGAAGTGTGGTCTGTTCTTGAGCGAAGTAACAATAACCAGGTGAGGAACACTCTATGCTTCTGGGGCCATCTGCTTGTTATCTGATGGCCAGAGACACCGAGAAACATTGAGGAATCATCCAGAGTTGGCAACAAGTCTTCCCCATTGCCATGCCATATGTGAGTGTGTGTGTTGGTTTACACATATTTCATTGTTGTAGGCCGTTGAGTGGAGGAGTTGGATGGAAAGTGAATTCTTACTGTGCCAGATCTGTCCATGTTGTGTTAAGTGGTTTCAGAGTCAGTTGAGCACTGCCAGAACCAAGGCCTCATGAACTCTCCATGTGGTCACGAGCTGACTGACATGCCCTGCCTGTGGCAGGGGATTTACTGATGGCTCATGATACATGATCCATGACGTGTACTAAGCTGTGTGTATTGTCATCACATAATACACGATACATTCTTTTGAATATTGTCATGTTATGGTACTAGGCTACATGTATTGTCATAGCATGATGCAATGCTGTGTATTGTCATGAGATTATACAAGGATTTATATATTGTCTTTGGTTTGGTTTGTTGTTTAACGCTGCACTCAGCAATATTCCAGCTATATGATGGCGGTCTGTAAATAATCCAGTGATTAATATCATGAACATCAATCCACGCAATTGGGATTGATGACATGCATCAACCAAGTCAGCGAGCCAGACCACCTGATCCTGTTACTCGCCTCATGACAAGCATGGTCGCCTCTTACGATAAGCATAGTCGCCTTTTACCGCAAGCATGGGTTGCTGAAGACCTATTCTACCCCATATTTTCACGGTTTTTATATATTGTCATGACATGATACAAGGCTGTGTGTATTGTCATGATGTGATACAAGGCTGTGAGTATTGTCATGATGTGATACAAGGCTGTGTGTATTGTCATGATGTGATACAAGGCTGTGAGTATTGTCATGATGTGATACAAGGCTGTGTGTATTGTCATGATGTGATACAAGGCTGTGAGTATTGTCATGATGTGATACAAGGCTGTGAGTATTGTCATGACGTGATACAACGCTGTGAGTATTGTCATGACATGAAACAAGTCTGTGTGTATTGTCATGATGTGATACAAGGCTGTGTGTATTGTCATGACATGATACAAGGCTGTGAGTATTGTCATGACATGATACAAGGCTATGTGTATTGTCATGACCTGATACAAGGCTGTGTGTATTGTCATGACATGATACAAGGCTGTGAGTATTGCCATGACATGATACAAGGCTGTGTGTATTGTCATGACATGATACAAGGCTGTGTGTATTGTCATGACATGATACAAGGCTGTGAGTATTGTCATGACATGATACAAGGCTGTGTGTATTGTCATGATGTGATACAAGGCTGTGTGTATTGTCATGACATGATACAAGGCTGTGAGTATTGTCATGACATGATACAAGGCTGTGTGTATTGTCATGATGTGATACAAGGCTGTGAGTATTGTCATGATGTGATACAAGGCTGTGTGTATTGTCATGACATGATACAAGGCTGTGTGTATTGTCATGACATGATACAAGCCTGTGTGTATTGTCATGATGTGATACAAGGCTGTGTGTATTGTCATGACATGATACAAGGCTGTGTGTATTGTCATGACATGATACAAGCCTGTGTGTATTTTATGACATGATACAAGGCTGTGTATTGTCATGACATGATACAAGGCTGTGTGTATTGTCATGATGTGATACAAGGCTGTGTGTATTGTCATGGCATGATACAAGGCTGTGTGTATTGTCATGACATGATACAAGGCTGTGTGTATTGTCATGACATGATACAAGGCTGTGTGTATTGTCATGACACTGTACAATGTTGGGTGAATTGTAATTACATGACATGATACAATGCTTTATATATTGTCATGACCTGATACAAGTCTGTATTGTGGTGATCATCTATGAGAACACATTTCTGCTATTTCCCGTTACAGCTTCATCCAATGTCAGACTAAACCATTCACTTCAAAGAGTTCAGGTTATTAGCGACATGACACGGCATACTCGTCCAATCCCTGAACCTTATTAGCTATGAGTGTGGATACTGATTGTCTTGCTGACATCTTGTATCAGAGAAATAACATGTGTTCTAGCAGAGCAGCTTTCAACACATGGTTGTGTTGTCTCCCAATGTCAAAGATTTTATGGGTGCTTCCGGTGCAGCTGAATTCCCACTCAGGGACGTGTTGGTGTGTGTATGTATATCATTATATACACTGGGAATGTGAACCCTGCAAGGTATCCGTGTGGTCAGTAGGTGACTGCCTGGCACGTGTTGGCATGTGTATACAGTCTGTATACATCTGTCTGGGAAGCTGCCCATACTACTTCCTCAACACACTATGCTCTGGTGTGTACCAGGGTACCACTGCAAGATACTTGTCACTGTGTCAAGAATCTGTCTACATGGTGATATATGCATAAACAATTTCGCATCTGTTTCCTTACACCCTTGCGTTCCCAGTAACCACCATCATAAATTTCATGAAAATATTTTTCATAGAACTCCACCGTGGTGTTCACTTCATAAACATTGTGAGTTTGACCTTGCGGTAATATCCCAACCTCTGAATGACTAAACACAAGCATGTAAAAATCACATGCATGATGTTTGTTTGTTTGTTTGTTGTTTAATGCCTCACACAGCAGTATATGACAGCGGTCTGTAAATAATCAAGTCTGGACTAGACAGTCAGCCTATGATGCCTTGATAGTCTATATAATTTTCAGACATTTTAACCAAGAACTTTGAGCCATGGGTCTTTAATGGCCCAGTTGTCTGAGGAATGAAAATTGGCTTTGCATAATTACTTCCCTTTGTCATGCCAGGATCGTATGATCAAACTGATTATGATCCTGAGTAAAACTTAGGTGTCTGAATAGAAAAGGGAAGATAAAAGTATTGGTCAGCTCGGAGTGACGCTAAACCCCATTTCACCTCACCTCCAAATATCTTTAGTGCCACAGTCGCTGTCTGCAAGTGGTTCCATTTAAGAAATGACGGAGGTTCCTTAATGATTTGAACCTTGTACTTGAATAGGAGTGGGGTGTCCAAACTGCAGCATGATCTAGTGGGCTGACACACACACAGGCACAGACACACAGACACACTCACTCACACACACACACACACACACACACACACACACACACACACACACACACACACACACACACACACACACACACACACACACACACACACACACACTCCACTACATAAATGCAATAATCCTGAATGTGACGCTAAACCCCATTTCACCTCACCTCCCAAAATCTTTAGTGCCACAGTCGCTGTCTGCAAGTGGGTCCAGTTAAAAAATGATTGAGGTTCCAAAAGGATTTGAACCCTGTACTTGAATAGTTTAAAAAATGTTTCCATATTGTTTCATTTAGAATATGTTTTGAAAGCAAGTTTCAGCATCTTTGAGCTATAATGTGCTTTGAGCTACGGTAAGAGGCTGGTCGGCCTCCATGTTCACATGATGATAATCCAAACACAACACTTACAGCTAAGAACATCAAAGAGTGCCTCCCTCCACGTTTACACTGCATACAACCCCCCCTAGTAAGGAAAGCTAATTGCTTAATGATATAATGGCACTCGTCAGACCCGTGAGCCCTGAGCGAACATGCAGGAGTTTGTTAGTGTGTCAGAATCCATCAGCTCAGCTTTGTTTAGATCAGCAAAACTTTATAAGGCAGAGTGTTGGAGGATGTCGTAATTATTGAAAGAAATTTCGGAAAATTGTTTGTCTGGTATTGTCAGGGATGAAGTAGATTGTCTGGATCAGATCTCATCTAACCGCTTCTGGATCTTTCTAGTCAGATTTTATATTCATTGAAAAAGTAGTTTACTATGGTTTGAGAAGGTGCAGTAGAAGAGCTGGCAGTGCTTTGACATTAGAGAGAGGGTACACCTACCAACACCTGAAAATGGCTTTTCCGGGACAACAAAACCACATCTGTAACCTGTGTCCCACACACATTTGAACACCATGCTAAAAGTCTGTGAACAGTATACTAAACTTGTATGAACAGTTTGCTGAAAGTGTCGAGTGCTGTAAATGTGATACAGTATCATTAATATAAATGAAAAGAACAGAATCATGAAAGTATAAACTTGATCATTAACAGAATCATTAGAAGTTTAAACAGAATAGAAGCATGAAAAATATTCACAGAATCAAGTGTGAACAATATCATGAACAGAAGCATGAAAGGTGTTTACAGAATCATGAACAGAATCAAGTGTCAACAATATCATGAACAGTATAGGAAGTGTCAGCACAATCATGAACAGAAGCATGAAAGTATTCACAGAATCATGAACAGAATCAAGTGTCAACAATATCATGAACAGAACCATAAGAAGTGTCAGCATGATCATGAACAGAAGCATGAAAAGTGTGAACATGTCATGAACAGTATAAACAGCATCATGAACACAATCATAAGCAATGTGAAAACTATCATGAACGTACATATATGAACAGTATTAAATTTTAAACAATACCTCATCATTTATATCATTTAAAGTATGTGTATTTTGTATATGTCTATGTTAACATAAAGAAAAATACTTTTTACTGGAAGTGTTTCAAGGATGTGTATTGGGCTGACTCAGATTAACAAATCTCAGACTGTTTTGATGAACTGATCATCACATGGTCGGTCCATGGAATCCTGCTCAGAGGCAGTAATGACCTCTTACATCTGATATTTTACGTATGCTCCTGTTTATGCTGTGTGTAGATATTTCTTACGTCTGAAATTTCTGACATGTTTTCTTTTATGTCCTAGCTTCAGGATTGTCTTCTGATTGGTTCTGACCTGACTGGCACGGTGTACTTCTGGAACAAGATCAACGGGGAGTCGGAGGCTGCTGTGAAGACCCATGATGCACCAGTACACAAGGTCGCATATCATCAAGGTCGAATCTGGACAGCTTCAGGGTGAGTCATTACACGACAGACCACTTCTGCCTGGAGAGGCGGCCTCCGTGGTCTTTAGTTAGAGCGTCAGAGAGCACCTCCATGGTCTTTAGGTAGAGCGTCTGGCTGGAGAGACCACCTCTGTGGTCTTGTGGTAGGGTGTCTTGCTGGAGAGACCACCTCTGTGGTCTTGTGGTAGGGCGTCTGCCTGGAGACACTGCCTCCATGGTCTAGTGGTAGAGCGTCTGCCTGGAGAGCAGGAGATTGCATCATACAAAAAGACATTAAAAGATGGTACTTCTTGTTACTCTGCCTGTCGTTGTCTGACAGTGGGTCCAGTTTAGAAATGGTGGAGGCTCCAAAAGGATTTGAACCTTGTACTTCATTAGTTTAAAAAATGTTTCCAAAAAGAACAAAAGTACTAGTCAGCCTGGAGACAGTATACTGTGTTAAACTACAGCATGGTATCTCAGTGGGCTAGCACTATGAAACCAGCATTAGTCATTAGACTAGTTCACAGACACACACGCATACACACCAAAAGACACAGACTTACACACACTTACACAGACACACAGACAGACACACAGACAGACACACACACATACACACACACATACACGCACGCACACACACACACACACACACACACACACAAACAGACACACACACTCAAGCATGTACATGCGTGCATAAAACGTGCAAAAATCTTGAATGCGACGTTCAACCCCACCTCACTTCACCTCACCTCACCTCACCTCACCTCACCTCACCTCACCTCACCTCATTACATGCCATGGAGCAGGTACTGGCTGCTTCTGGAGCATGCAGTGATAGATGTTTTACTGTTGAGTTATTTCATTTTCAGTAATTCAAAGATAACTTGAGGATAATTCAAACGCATTCTCCAAGCTGAGACTTGAAAGGTTTCTAAATGCAGTCAGCAGCCAGAGCTTGAATTACTACCAGAGTGTCACTTTATGTTTACCTGTTTCACACTCCAGCCAGGCCTGTTTCTTTATTTTATTCTTGACTCCACCAAACCGTACCTAGCCACCATGTTTCAGTGAAGGAGGAACCTCACTGCTGACACATTCGCTAATGAGCAATTCATTCAAAGAGTCATTGAAACATTGCAGATACATTGTTAAATGTTAACTCACTCACTCTGTTCCAAGAGTTGGAAAAAATGTGTGAAGTCAGTTCCTGGTGATATTGCTGGAATATTGCTAAAAGTGGTGTAAAACTATCCCAAGAGAGGGTGAGTGAGTCAGTTGGGTTTTATAATTCTTTCAAAAGTATTTCAGTTATAGTTTCATGGTCATTTTTTGGGAAGGATAGCCCAAAGAAATGCAGGCTGTAGATGTTAATCTCTTTTTTTAAACCTCAGTGCACATTTGGAGTTGATAAACCTTGGATCATGATCAGCAAATATTGGAATCAAACCCCTGATCAGCGGATCCTGCACCATTTAGGGACACAACTCTGCATTGCGGACCCTAAGATTTACTGATAAGACTGTTTCTTGTAGTTGCAAGTTAAAAGCAAGGTGAACAAATGTGGATCTTTGGTTCATCTGAGTGTGAGACATCAATTTATAATCCTGAACCTACTTAACATTACAGACGTTTGAGAAAATAAGACAATTTTTCTTTTTCTGAGAGCTGTTCCTCAAAATGTTGGAACATAGTTTAAATGAGATGCAATCTAGTTGTATTTTATTGACGGATGTCCTCATAATACGACAGAAGTCATGAGAATTTCATTGAAGACAAACATCCTCTTTCAACACTGGAAAGTACTACAGTTGATATGTGGGACATCCCACCGTGAACGTACCTAGATTTGGCTTTTTTCCCACCTTCAGATCTGGAGAATATTGCAAGTTAAATACACCCATCATGAAGACAAGGTCTGTTTCTCGTCTTCTTAAATGCATAGCTCATCAGCGCCATGCCAACACGTAGAATAAATTTCTTCAGATGTTCAATATCTGTGTTGGCTGTGGTGTTGGTTGTTGTTTGTGGCTTTACTCCTCTACCCAGAGGACATATAATGTCTTTCTCGATCTTCACCAGCTCAGTGTGTGCCTCAAGACATTGCTTTATCGTTCTGTAAATGTGTGGCCAGTCTGCCATATTTATTTCATTAGTGAACAGAAAAATAGTTGACTTTTTCGGCTGTTTGAAAGATCATAAAATTATGAATTTTGGGGCTTGATTTTTTTTTAGAGATTATAAGTATGTATTCAAAAGCTCACATGAGATGAAGAGTATTTTTGGGAACATATGATAGCATCCGTTAGATATGTATAGCAGTGTTCAGAGTTAAGGTAGGTCGTTGGGTCTTTGAGGTTTGCTCCTATAGTATTTGAATATAGGGCCCCCTTAAACCCTTATCTTTTAACATTAGGGCTATGACAAGGACCCCGTCCTATTATGCTTATTTTCATAGTGTTTATGCACTAAGTATAATTAAGCAGACCCGTATATGGAAGGGTAGACTAACATTTAGTCTCTGAAATCTTATATTACACAATATCCTTCTTGACTCTAAAAATAAAAATAAATTCCCTATGCTGATTTCAGAATAGAGCTAGCTTGAGCTGGCTAGACTTGCTTTTGTATGCATTTCTAGATTATTATTTTTCATAAAATAAATATATTCCACGGTCATGGTACAGGACTAATGGAAGGGTTGCTTAATGCGTTTGCTCGAATTTGAGCTCCACTATTGTCCTGGTTTTCTGAGACACAAATATAGGACAGATGTCAGAGACTTTATGCCTGATATCCCTCCTATAATTTCCCTGGGGAATTTCTTACACATGATTGTATGACCTTGAAGGTCAAGGTCAATCAGTATAAACTAGGCATCGAAAAAGCTTTTGTATACGATAATTTGTTTATTTAGGAATGGAATTTGATTAAACTTAGGTGGGTTCTTGACTGTTTCGTATTGTGGGTGACCTTCAAGGTCACTGGAGGTCAAATTATGTAATATGGTTTAATTTGTTTTGGGTTAATTTATTAGAAATCTGAGCATTTTCAAATCACTTTTGATTGATTTTCAATAATTAACTCAATGCCAGTCTTGTGCCATGGCTGGGTCAGTTTGAAGGCCATTCACGCATAAAATGAGTCGTAAATAGTTTCATTTAGAATGCATTGGCAGTTTAATATGGGGATCGACTTCATTTTTGTAACACAGTAACACAAAAAGTACACTCTCATGTGATGAAATGACCTTGGAGGTAAAGGTAACTCATTGTTAGTTGGGTGTAAGTGATGTCCAGACTCAATCACTGGTATGCATGAAACACTGTGATAGTGCTGGAACTCTGCTGACGGTGAAACTAAACAGTACTCCATTCCAATGTTGCAGTATGATATGTAATGGAGAAATCAATTGAATCTGTTGATTGCGGATTTTAGATCAATGAGCTCCAAAGGGACGAGTTGATAATACCACTAGAATCAACAGACAACTTCTGAGCATGAGTCATATGACGCTCTTTGAGATGCTGGAAGAAAGAGAATGCTCAATTGTATCTCAAAAGTTGTGAAATGTAAACACCAATGGTTAGAGCTGCTGGAATATTGCTCGACATGAAGGGAAAGTCGACTATTTGAAAGTTGAAGTCATCCCTCTTGTCATACAGTCTTGTGGAGAGTGTTTTATAGAGCTGCTGGAATACTGCTTGACATAAAGGGAAAGTCGACTATTGGAAAGTTGAAGTCATCCCTCTTGTTATACAGTCTTGTGGAGAGTGTTTTGTAGAGCTGCTGGAATATTGCTCGACATAAAGGGAAAGTTGACTATTGGAAAGTTGAAGTCATCCCTCTTGTCATACAGTCATGTGGGGAGTGTTTTGTCACTCTGAATCTTTATGCATAGACCTAAATATGAAACAGATTAGGCTGTCTCACTTGCCTCCTTTTTATCCCCCGCCGCGCAAAAGCGCGAAGCGGGGGATATAGTATTCACGACCGTCCGTACGTCCGTCCGTACGTCCGTCCGTACGTCCCACCTGTTTGTTGCCGCGATATCTCAAGAACTAAACACTGGATTGTCTTCATATTTGGAACTATGGTGTATATACAGACTCCGCAGACACCAGTCAGTTTTGGTGACCTTGACCCCATTTTAAAGGTCACAGCAGGCATATCTGCTTTTGGAGTTGGAAAACAGTGTTGCCGCGATATCTCAAGAACTAAACACTGGATTGTCTTCATATTTGGAACTATGGTGTATATACAGACTCCGCAGACACCAGTCAGTTTTGGTGACCTTGACCCCATTTTCAAGGTCACAGCAGGCATATCTGCTTTTGGAGTTGGAAAACAGTGTTGCCGCGATATCTCAAGAACTAAACACTGGATTGTCTTCATATTTGGAACTATGGTGTATATACAGACTCCGCAGACACCAGTCGGTTTTGGTGACCTTGATCCCATTTTCAAGGTCACAGCAGACAAATCTGCTTTTAGAGTTGGAAAACGGTGTTGCCGCGATATCTCAAGAACTAAACACTGGATTGTCTTCATATTTGGAACTATGGTGTATATACAGACTCCGCAGACACCAGTCGGTTTTGGTGACCTTGATCCCATTTTCAAGGTCACAGCAGACAAATCTGCTTTTAGAGTTGGAAAACGGTGTTGCCGCGATATCTCAAGAACTAAACACTGGATTGTCTTCATATTTGGAACTATGGTGTATATACAGACACCGCAGACACCAGTCGGTTTTGGTGACCTTGACCCCATTTTCAAGGTCACAGCAGGCAAATCTGCTTTTGGAGTTGGAAAACGGTGTTGCCGCGATATCTCAAGAACTAAACCTCTCGATTGTCTTCATATTTGGAACTATGGTGTATATACAGACACCACAGACACCAGTCGGTTTTGGTGACCTTGACCCCATTTTCAAGGTCACAGCAGGCAAATCTGCTTTTGGAGTTAGAAAACGGTGTTGCCGTGATATCTCAAGAACTAATCGCTGGATTGTCTTCATATTTG